TTTAGATTTTTATGAGTATCTGTGATCATTTGTTACATGTGGCTAAAAAATGACCAGTACTGATGAGATAGCATTTTATTTTTAGAGAAAAGCCTCAACACACTTTCCCAAAGTGATTCTTTAAAAAAAATCTCTGCTTCCTTCCGGAGAAGTTCTGTCCAAGGCTACATGTGGATCTATATACTTGCATGATAAAGATCATCTTTCTACCCAAATATACTGATGGTGAAAGGTTTAAGTGTTATGGTCTCTGAAACTGGTGAAATAGAATTCCCTTCCTAAGTTCCCTGTACACAAATACTAATAAGTCATTGTTGTAATGCTTGTTGACTTGATATGATATTTTTGAAAAATAATTTTTCTTTATTGATTTTAGAGAGAGAAGAAGGGAGAAGGAGAGAGATAGAAACATTGATGAGAGAGAACAACGACTGGCCGCTTCCTGCATGCCCCCTCCCCCTCACTGAGGATTGGGCCCACAACCTGGGCATGTGCCCTATCCAGGAAATGAACTGGTGATCTCTTGGTGCATGGGTTGACGCTCAACCACTGGGCCACACCTGCAGGGCTGATGTGATATTTTAAACAAAGAGAAAAATGTCATAAGCCAGGGAATGGAATGCCAGGAAAGAAAAATATGATACATAGATATCTCAGTCTCTAAAGTTTCATTTCCAAACTTTCAAATTTTCTCCCAGCCCGTGTCTAATGGCAAACAAATATTCTAGAACAAAATAACGATAGACATACCTTTTCTACAAGTAGAATGAGTCCAATCTACTTTTTCTCTTTTCCTAATGAAATAAGACTATTTCAAATAAGGGTATACTAATATATTGAGGAAATATTTTCAGCTCAAGTGCTTAATTAGAAGTTTGTCTTTATTGGTAAGCTGTTATCATATTAAAAATACAGCTTAATATAGTAACAAAATAAAAGACAAATCCCTACCTCCGACCAGTGCGGTTCAGTTGATTGAACGTCCTCCCATGTACCTCGGTCACGAATTCAAGACCTGGTTGAGGCACATGCCTGGGTTACAAGCTGGATCCCCAGTAAGGGGCATGTGGGAGGCAGTCAATCAATGTTTCTCTCTCCCTCTCCCTTCCTCTCGCTAAAAAAAATCAATGAAAACATATTTAAAAAATAAGAAAAAGACAAATCCCTGGATAATAGACCAGAAAGTTAAGATAAAACTTTCTATATACCCAAATCTAGTCAAGGACTTGACCAAGGACACCATTTCATGTATCTTTCATTGTGGTCTTAAATATATTTGAATTTGAAGTTCCTTATGCATTGATTTCTGTATACAATTGGAAAAAAGTTTTCTGACTTATCTATTGTAGAATATAGAGTGGCTGGCCTTAATGAAATATAAGTATTTTGCAAAACTATTGAACTTGTCTAAGAATAGATGGTGCTGGACTGAATCTCCTTAGTAATCAACTAGAACTTTCTTTAGTTTTTTCTACCATCAAAGTGTATAAGATGTAACGCTATAGGACTAGAATGACCCCCACAAGTGGTCTCCTTATCCCACATATATTATTTTAACTGAATTTGCTTGAAATTCCATTTGTCATCTGAAGAAATGAAGAGAAGAATCAAGAGTTACAGAAGAGGGGAAGGAACTAACTCTCAGTCTCAGTGTTTCAGAGATGAGGTGATCACAAGGCCTTGGGGTTTAGCCTCCCCTGCCTTTGCTCTCTCCAAGCTCATGGTGCTTCTGTTCGCTTTTTGCTTTATAAGGTGAGTTGGAAATATAATGTTTTTTATTTATGTATTTGTTATTTTGATATTGTGGGGAAATTTAAAGAAAGTAAGCTTGTAGGCTCAAAGTTCTATTTAATCACTCTGGGATTCTTATAGAAGAAATGGAAAAACTTAAAAAACATTATATTTAAAAAGTATTTTACAGTTTATAAAGTACCTCCATATAAAATTATTTAATTTGAACATACAGTGAGGGAGGTCCAGAATCACACCATGAGTAACTGACAGAGCTATAACCATAAACTACGCATCTCTCTCTCTCTCTCTGTCTCCATATTTTTCTCTATCTCTTTTTCTATCTTTCTCTCTCCCTCTCTCCTCCCACTCTATGATTGCATCTAAAACTTACTCTATGGATGCTTAACAACATATAAAAAAACTAAAAACTTTCTGAGGGCAAATTTAGTGCCCTATTTATTTTTGCATTTGTATTATTGTATCATCTAACCCAAAGTAGGTGTTCAGCTTTTTGTTGAATGGATAAATGAACAAATGAATAAAATAAAATAAAAATAAAATAGTACAGTGGATTGAGGGTCGTCCCATGGATTAAGAGGTCTAGGTTCAATTCCCAGTCAGGACACGTGCCTGGGTTGTGGGCTCAATCCCCAGCAGGGGGCATGCAGGGGGCATGCAGGAGGCAGTTGATTGATGTTTCTCTCTCTCTCTCTCTCTCTTCCTTTTTCTCTCAAAAAATAAATAAAATCACAAAATGAAAGAATTTTTCAGATAGTAAATTAAAATAGATTAATATTGTAGATTTTAGACAACTATTGAGAAAATAAATAGTTGTATTAGAGGCTATCTAATCTATCTGAAATCTATCTTGTTAGCTTCACTCCATAAAATATACTATATCATCTATTATTATTTACAAATATTCAGATCACTAAGTCATAAGTATTATTTAGAAAGACTGTATTTTGATAGCATGAGGTTAGAATTCATCTTCAGTAGCTTAAGGTTTATTGGAATACAACAAATAAAAATGATTATAATTACCTCTCACATCTAGGAGAGTACAAGACTGTTAACTCATATTTATATCAGTTTTCATTATTTTTGCATTACATTTTAAAAATTAATTTTAGAGTTTTAAAACATCAACTGATCATTTTTTTATATTATTCCAACAGCATGGTTTATCCATGAATAGATTTCAACTGGCCATGCTTAGATAAAACAAGTTTTCTTATATATACTTCTACCAACCTACACCTTTGGGTAAAAATTCTGGGTGTGTTGAGCTTTATTTTATTTTTTACAAAGTCTCAATTAGTAAATATTTCTGTGTGTGACTTGGAAGAAAATTTTGAAGAACTAATTATTTTATACTAATATAGTTTGATTCAAATACTAGCAAGATACACTGAGAAAAACAATCTCAAATAATATACATTTTTTCATTTTTTTTCAAAGCCAAACCCATGAAACAAATAAAGATGAAATGTCCATGATCTGACATAGATTCTCTAGATGCATACCAACGAAGAAATTATTGAAAAAAAAAAATGGCCCAAGCTATAACTTTGCCAATTTAGTTACTGCTGTCAAGTAACAATACATGATGCCATCTAGTGACAAGTGACCAACATACGAATAATCACACAGAAATGACAGAGTGAGGAGGTGAAATTCCCAGGATTTTATATGTTCATATATAAAATCTTCAGAAAGAGAAAAATCCTTCTGAAAGAATCAAATGTGTTAGATTAGCATTCTCTCTTTTGGTACACAGAGTGCATGAGCATGTATCACTGATCTGCAGCTTGGGGGTTTTTATTTTTAAATACTGTGTTGCCACCTACCTCCAAATCTGCACCTCTACCTCCTTCTGCCGCTGCCCTTCATCCGGTCGCAGCTGAACTCAGAACTGAGAAGTGTCGTTGAAGTCGCAGCCCCCGTACACTGACAGGTGGTGGACGTGGAGCACTTTACAAACCGATCTCAACGAGCTGAAAAAGAAAAAAAAAAAAAAAGAACTTCAAAAAAAGGGAACCAAGATGATTCCTGAAACAATCTGTGCCCAATAAAAAATAACAACAACAATAAATAAGGAGTTCAAAGGGTAAAACTAAAATAGGGACCAGAGGAAATTATCTTTGTTTTTCTTGGCCAAGGACTATGCGGACCTGGTGCTGTCTCGTTCCTTGTCCCAAATCCTCACTGGAAATGCCGGCGACCTCTCTCTGAAAGGCTCTAGCATTGTGCCCTAAGGGAAATAATTTTCTTCGAGTTATCTCATCTTTTGTAAGCAGATGGCATAGGTTTTTTTTTTTTTTTTTTAAGAGAAAGACCAACAATCTGTCGACTGTGGAATTCTCATAGTCCAATAGTTTCTTTTTGGTTCATTTTTTATAGCTAGATAAACTGGTGCTGCTGCCATAGATACATGTAAGAACAGGAGACACTGCTGTGTTCACATATATCTGTTTAAAGCTCAGGAGGAGGATGTTGTCAGTTGCCTTAGACTCTTAAGTTAAAAAACCTTTGTGAAATGAAAAAGAAAAGCTTATCAAAATCTCAGCTTCAAGTGAGTTTAGTTGTGGTTTTTTTTTACTATTGCCGACATGCTGTGATTGGAGCACAATGTGTGGAAATTGCATAACCATTATTTCCACAAATCAAAGCTATTGAGAAATGGGAAGGCCTGGCAGGAGCTGTTGCATGAAACGTTCATTTAAAATCTCGGCCTTTATTTCTAAAGTTTTTCTTCTTTTTTGAAACTATTGTTCCGTTTTAACCATCACTGAGCTTTGTTGTTGTTGGGTTTTTTTTTATAACTAAAATCAGGATTAGTCACAGGCCAAATCACATATTTTGAAAAGTGTTTTCTCTATGTTTCTTATATTTATAATTTTTTAAAATCCTCACCCAATGATATTTTTTCATTGATTTTTAGAGAGAGTACAAGGGAAGGAGTGGGGGGGGGGGCGGAGAGAGAGAAACATTGATGTGAGAGAGACACATCTACTGGTTGTCTCCTACAAGACCCCGACTGGGAGCTGGGGGTCTAACCTGCAACCCAGTAATATGTTCTTGACCAGAATCAAACCTGCAACCTATCAGTCTGTGGGCCAACACTCTAACCCTGTTCCAAACCAGCCAGGGCCTTATTTTTATCTTTAGTTCAAGTTAATTTTATTATTTTTGGCATCTTGGACTAGTCTAGGCAAAGGACTCTTAGTTCAAGTGTTAGAAGCACCAAGGAAACATTGAAGCATGCTTGCTTGGGCAGAACATACACTAAAATTAGACTGATACAGAGAAGATTAGCATGGCCCCTGCCGGGTAAGGATGACACACAAATTTGTGATGATGTGTTCCATATTTTTTTTTTCTTTATTCATTGTTAGAGAAAGAGGAAGGGAGAGTGAGAGAGAGATAGAAATGTCAATGAGAGAGAACATTGATTGGCCGCCTCCTGCATGCCACCCACTGGGGATTTGGCCCATAACCTGGGCATGTGCCCTGACCAGGAATTGAACTGGTGACCTCTTGGTACATGGGTTGACACAACCACTGAGCCACACTGGCTGGGCGTGTTGCTTTTTTTTTTAAAGGAAGGAAGGCAGAAAGGCAGGAAGGAAGGGAGGGAAAGAAAGAAGGAAGGAAGAAAGGAAGAAAAATACAACATTTGGTGCAATTTTCACGCCTTAGGGGAAGTTTTGGTGCCTTCAGACTTGTCCATTCCAGGTTTATGGGGGCTACTGACAGTCCTTTCTCTACTTCTTTCACATTTAAAATAGTAACCAGTCAGATGGTTATTTGGGTCAAAGTGAGCCTGAATGCATTATAAGAAAACGAAGGAAAAACTTCCCATTCTGGCTGTGTTCCTTTTTTGCACAGCAGAGGTTTAGTTGTGCTACTCTTAGAGTCACAGGTTCTGCTGAGAACTTAAAAACGTCCCTGCTTCCGGTGAACACATCTGAACACATCCGGAGTCGGGCTGGGGATGAATGAGATGGGGTGGGAATCTCAAACACCCTCTTGCAAATCAGGAGGTATAAATGGGGAATTTACTTGAGTGAAATGTGGTTTTGTTGGGAAATAGTCTACTGGGGTATTCCGTTAGCCCTTTCAATATCTAAACTTACTGTGAGGAAGAAATAGTCTGCAAAAAAAAAAAAAAAAAAAGACACTTTTCAGCACCTGGGATATAATGAGCATAAATATCTTTTTAGGTTCAAGATTTATGGTCAAAGATTATTTTCTTCTGTAATGTTTCTGCTTCAAGAAGTGTTTCAGTGTTCTTTAAAGTAAATGTCAAAGATTCTAAGGCTAAAACAGTGATTAAAGCAAAAGTCTGTGACCCAGTTTAGTTTTGAATCACGTTGGTGCTGTTTCTTTCATTTTTAAATTTGGTGCCACTTTCTATCATTTTCACCCCTGGGACTTTCTGGTTAGAGATGTATATAATTGCCTTTCTGCCTACATGCTCTGCCCAAAGAATCTGTTCCCACCCAGAAACCTTGCTGAACAGATGGGCCTAGTCATCCTTGATTGTATCAAATGACCCTGCTCCTCTGGCTGTAGGTGAGAAGGACAGGTATGTGGAGACTGACTGTGAGTCAATCTGTAGGTTAGGCCAAGCCACTTTGATGATTTCATCTGCAACGTTTCAACTCAGGCACAAGAACCATAGATGGGAGATGAGAACTGGATCTGCAGAGTCACAGGTATTTGGTTTGAGAGTTATCTCATCATAAGCCTCAGCCATGTGCAAATCAAATTTATGAGGGAATCCAAAGTAAAAACCTTGCATATGGAGCCAGCCTGAGAGAGTGACATGGTATAGACACTCAGACAAGCGGTAACAAGAGCTGGATTTGACAGTTGTGAGATCTAGGCCTCTTTCTATTTTCTAAATATACTGGTGGTGTGTGGTGTTTTTTGTGTTTTTTTTTTAATGCATTTTTATTTTTGAAATTTTATTTTATTTAATTATTATTATTTTTTGTTTAATTATTTATTTAATTATTATTGTGTTTTTTCTTTATTGATTTTAGACAGAGGAAGAGAGAGGGAGAGAGAGATAGAAACATCATTGAGAGAGAACATTGATTGGCCACTGGGGAGCAGGCCCACAACCTGGGCATGTGACGTGACAGGGAATCAAACCAGCGAACTCTTGGTGCATGGGTCAATGCTCAACCACTGAGCCACACCAGCTGGGAGATTATTTTTGAAATTTTAAAGAATTGATTTAATTCACTGCATTATCAATTCTTTTTTTTTGTTTTGTTTTTTATCCTCACTCGAGGATATTTTTCCATTTTTTGTACAGATAGAGTGGGAGGGAGAGAGAGGAAGGGAGGGAGAGAGAGAAACATCGATGTGAAGGGACACATCGAGTGGCTGCCACCCGCACGACCAACCAGGGCCGGGGACAAACTGCAACCGAAGTACGTGCCCTTAGCGGGAACCGAACCCGGGTCTCTCCGGACCGCAGGCCGACGCTCTAACCGCTGAGCCAAACTGGCCAGGGCTCAAATTCTTAGTAACATATCTTTAAAGGTTTCAAGGCAATACTTTAAAACATAACAAAACTTATCTTCTGGCAGCTGGTGTGGCTCAGTGGTTGAGCATCAACCCATGCACCAAGAGGTTGCCAGTTTGATTTCCTGTCAGGGCACATGCCCAAGTTGTGGGCAGGAGGTAGCCAGCCGATGTTTTTGCTCTCTCATCAATGTTTCTATCGCTCTCTCTTTCCCCCTTCCTCTCTCTCTAAAAATCAATAAAGAAAAAAAACTTATTTTCCCCTCCTTTTTCCCTCATTGACCCCCTTGTACCCAATCCCACCACCCTCCTGCCTTCCCCACCGAATTGTTTGTGTCCACTGGGTGTGCTGGCTCTGAGGTCAGGTCAGCCACTGCCTGTGTTCTACTTGGGAACACCCGGCATAAGCTACAGAGTGATCTGCAGACGCTGCTTCTTGTGCTGGGCTTGGAGGTGCCCAGGAAAGGCTAGGTTGTGAACCAAGGCTGGCTACTTCTAGTGCCAGGCCTGGGGCCACTTAACGAGGGGCATGGGGCTTGCTGAGACCAGATGCTGCTTGTTTGAGAGATTTTAGGAAAGTCTGAAGCAGGAGCCAAGACAGGCCAATCCTATGGTAAAGCCTTTGGAAACGGATTGGGTGGGCCTGAAAGTTGGGTGGGGCAGGGCCTCAGGGAGTCACCAGGGCGGGGCAACCAGTATGAGCCAGGTTGCTGGAGTCCCAGATAGCACTGCTGTCTGCCCCCCAGGTAAGGGATCACCAAAGGAACAAAAGCCTCTTGACAGCAGGTCTGTCCAGGAGAAAGCTGTCTCTCCAGCCCTCACCCCAATGCCAAACAACTCAGTTCTTCCCCCATATGACTCCGGTGCCCCCTAAGCCGCCTCCCCCATGCTGGAGCCCAGAAGGAGTCTGATAAGTCTGTGCCTGGGTCCATTAAGAGGAGCTGACAGGCTCAGCAGCTTCAACCTCCCTCAGCCTCAGTGCCCATTGGTTTTCCAGCCAGAAGTGACGGGGACTCCTCTCCTGGCACTGGAACCCTGAACTGGGCGCCTGGTGTGGGATGGGGACCCCTCAGTCCTCAGGGAAGACCTTCCCAGCTGAGGTGTCCTCCTGATTTTTATCTGCCACACATGGGTGTGGGACCAGCCCCTCCGCCTTCGCCCCTCCTACCAGTCTCCATGTGGCTGCTGCTTTAACTTCATAGTTGTAGGACTTCAATGGCTCAGTGTCAGGTGGTTTTGAATGATGGTTGTTCTGTAGTTTAGTTGTAATTTTGATGTGGTTGTGGGAGGAGGCAATACTGTGTCATCTTGACGGAAGTTGGTGTGGGGTTTTTGTTTTTGTTTTTTTAAGCTGGATTGCTCAAGGAACTTAGTGAGAACCTCAAGTGCATAAAAAAGGACCAGTTAGCCCTGGCCGGTTTGGCTCAGCGGTTAGAGTGTCGGCCTGCGGTCCAGAGAGACCTGGGTTCGGTTCCCGCTAAGGGCACGTACCTCGGTTGCAGTTTGTCCCCGGCCCTGGTTGGGTCGTGTGGATGGCAACCACTCGATGTGTCTCTCTCACATTGATGATGTTTCTCTCTCTCTCCCTCCCACTCTATCTGAACAAAAAGTGGAAGAATGTCCTCGGTGAGGATAAAAAAAAAAAAAATGGACCAGTTAGAACTGAAATAAAGAATAATTTACAACCAAGATTACTGTATCCTGCAAAGCTATCATTTAGAATCGATGGCCATAGAAAGAGTTTCCAAGATTAAAAAAAAAGCTGAAGGAATTCATCACCAGCAAACCAGTATTATATGAAATGTTGACGGGTTTTCTTGAAGAAAAAGAACAAAAATATGAACAATAAAATGGCAATTAATACATATCTAGCAACAATTGAATCTACAAACAAAATGAGAAAGCAGAAAAGAAACAGACTCAGATACAGATAACTTTTTATTGGTTGCCAGATGGGAGAGGGTGGGAGGGATGGGTGAAAAAGGTGCAGAAATTAAGAAGTACAAATTGGTTGTTAGAATGACAGACATCAGGGGGAAGAGGGAGGAGCGGTGGGAAGAAATAAACCAAAAAACTTATATGCATATACGCATAACCAATGGGCACAGACAACAGTGTGGGGAAGGTGGATCGGGGTGGGGGTCAAGGGGGAAAATAGAGGGGACATCTATAATACATTCAACAATAAAGATAAGTTTAAAACGAAAAACAAAAACAAACAAAAAAAGTCCACTTTCTTTTATGATGATTATAAAATATGATTAATATATGACCTCTCTGGCCTTGCCAGGTCTGGAACTCTTGCCTAAAGTATATAATAGCATGCATAGAATATCTCTGGAAAAACCGTAAGATGCTAGTAACAGTGGTTCCCTGCAGGGATGCTAACTAGGTGACTGGGAATGGGAAATACTTATTTTCCATTGCCCAATCTTTTGTCCCTTTTAATGTTTGAATTATATGCTTATTTTACTTTATCCAAAAAGGTAATATATTTTGTCAATTAAAAATAATTTTTCAATTACAGTTGACATTCAATATTATATGAATTTCAGGTGTACAACATAGTGGTTAGATATTTATATAATTTATGAAATGATTTCCCCAATATTTCTAGTACCTCTGACACCATACATACTTATTATATATGATTGACTATATTCTCTGTGCTATACTTTACCTCGCCATAACTATTTTAGATGCCACGTATATGTGAAAATGTATGGTATTTTTCTTTCTCTGTCTAACTTATTTCACTTAGCATAATACCTTGTCGGTCCATTTTTGTCACAAATGGCAAGATTTCACTCTTTTGTTCTGGTTGAGTAATATGTGT